ATAAGCATAATGATTTTAATGATGATAATAATATAATAAAAAAAACAATTTATTCGATAACAACTATCACTATAAAAAAATTAGAGGAATTTAAGATAACAATATTAGAGAAGGAAAATTGATGATGATTTACTCATAAGAATATGATCATCAAGAATAAAATGCTATAGTTGGTTTTAAAATGAATAAATTTATAAAATAATTTTCTGATATGAAGGTAATGTATTATATTTGTAACATAAGTAGGGAGCATTGGATTGTATATTGAGGATGGAATGATAATAGTAGAGATAAGCAAATTTGGATAATTAAACTAATTATAGGATAAAAGAGATCATATTAAATGATTGAAAAAATAGAAATTTAAAAGAAAATGATTGTATAGTTGTATGATATTTTTAATTGATAAATTATTTATCTTATTTTTCAAATACTCATTTGAAAGAATTTTAGAAATAGTTTAAAAATCAAGAAGTAAGAATTATGTTATACTAATTTTGGATAAGTCATTAACTGATAATTGAAAATTCAGTTTTGGTGGGATATTAGATTGAAAAGATTTTGGATAGTCGTAAAATCTATAATTAAATAACAATTTTAATTTAAGTGTATGGAAATGATGGAATAAAAATTTAGAGTACGAAAAGAACTTCCCTTAATCAGCTAAATTAAAACCATTATAAAAAAGTTCTTAAAGTATAAAAATTGAGACAGAGATTAAAATAACAGCAAATTAATTTTGTTTAAATAAAATCAATAAATATGTTTGTTTATAGGTTATTTCACTTTGTAGAAGGGATAATAAATTGCATTATCTAAAGTAAAGGTTTGTTTATTTAAGAGGATAACAAGAAAAATATTTTGACGAAATTTTAAAATCTATACACTGTACCAATCCTATAAAATTTTAAAAATAAGTTACTTTAGATTTGTCTAAAAAAAGAAAAAAGGCAAAGCTCTAAAAAATAAAAAAAATTGAGCATTCTATATATTTCTTATTTATTTATTAAAATTCATAATGTTTTTAATAATCCTTTAATAAACTCTTTATCTTGGAAATTTGAATCTAGAATCTACTTTAAGATTATTTTTGCTTCTTCTTTTTTGTTCATGTCAATTAGTACATAAGCTATTGTAATTTAATAAGATTACAACCTTTATTGAGCAAAATCATGGGATGCTTCTTTCTTTAATAAGCCTCATCATAGCATTTTATGGCATCTTGGTATTTTTTCTGACTTGATAAGGCAAGAGCTAAAATTTACATATAAAGTTACCTTTAAAGAAAAATGCTTAGTCGCGATCTGGAGCAAATTAAATAGCTTTATCACAACATTCAATTGCTTCTTAAAATCTTTTTAAATCCAATAAGGCATTTGCTATTACATAGTATCTTCTAATTAAATACCTTTATCAGTAAATGTTTAATATTTAGGTTATAATTTAATTTCCTAATCAAAACATTAAATAGCTTCTTAAGGTCTTTATAGTTTTAGTAACGTCAATCCTAAATTGATATAATTTATAAAATTAATACCTTTAGTTCCGAATGCAATATCATTTTTTGGATTTATTTTAATAGCTTTTTCTGAATATTCAAGAGCTTCCTTATATTTATTTAAAGAATATAGAGCTGATCCTAGATTAAGTCATTAATGAAAATAGCTTACCTTTGTTAGTGAAAGCTAAATCATTCTTTTGATTTAATTAAATTGATTTATCACAACAATTAATAGCTTCTTAATATCTCTATAAACTAAGTAATGTTGACGCTAAGAATATCTTTAATTTTATACCAATCATATCAAATCTAAAGCCCATTATTGGATTCAATTTAGTTGCTTTTTCAAAGCATTCTATAGCTTCCTGAAATTTTTGCTGTTAAAATAAGGCCATACCTATTTAAAGAAAGTTAAATATAATAAATGCCTTTAGAGTCGTATCCAGAAAAATCATTTGGATTTAATTGAATAGATTTATCAAAACAATTAATAGCTTCTTTATATTTTCCTAATTTAATTAATGCTTCTCCTTAATAAAGACTTGAATATAACAAATACCCTTGTTATGATATACAGAATCATCATCTGAATTCAATTAAATTGATTTATCAAAATATTCTATGGCTTCTATATATTTTTGTAAATTCATTAATGCCGATCCTTAGTAGATAAGAATAAAATTAAAAAAGCTACCTTTATTATAAAAAGCTAAATCATTTTTAGGATTCAATTGAATGGCTTTATCAAAATATTCGATGCTTTATTTAGTTTTTTCTAAATATAATAATGCTAATCCTTTGTTATTTTTAATTATAATTATACCTTTATTTAGATATGCCATATCTTTTTTAGGATCAATTTGAATGGCTTTATCGCAATATTCAATAGCCTCTTTATATCTTTATAAATTATTTAATGCTGCTCCTGTGAAAAGGATTATTATGTAATTGATACCTTTGTTATTTAAAATTGAAGCATTCTTAGGATTTAATGAGATTGCTTCATCAAAACATTTAATAGCTTCTGAATATTTTTATAAATTTATTAATGCTGTTCCTTTAATGCTAAAATATAAAATAAACACCTTTATTGCACAAAGAATTTTCTGATTTAGGATTTAATTGAATTGCTTTATCAAAACAATCTATGGCTTCTTAATATCTTTTGAAATTAATTAATGTACATCCTATTTAAAATTTTAATTTAAGTTATACCTTTTTCCTCAAATATTTCATAATTTTTTGAATTTAATTAAATTCCTTTATCGAAACATTAAATTGCTTTTTCGTATTTTTATAATTTTCCTAATGCTGACCCTATTAAATAATTTAATATCTATTGGAAACCTTTAGAGATTATTGCTGATTCATCAGTTGGATTCAATTAAATGGCTAAATCATAGCATTAAATAGCCTCTTAATATCTTTATGAGTCTTGTAGCGCTTATCCTTTAATAATCCTCATCACTATGAAATACCTTTGTAATATAAAGCTAAATCATTCTTTGGATTAAGCTGAATAGATTTATCAAAACATTCTATAGCTTCTGAATATTTTTTTAAGCTCGTTAAGGTTATACCTTATACTTGAGAAAACAAATACCTTTTTGAATAAATATTTAATCACCTTTTGGATTTGATAAGATGGCTTTATCAAACCATATGATTGCTTCTTCAGGTCTTTACAATTATTGTAATGCTCTTCCTATTATCTATAATATCAAATAACCTTTATTCTCGAATATTGCATGATTTTTCTGATTCAATTGCATTGCTTTTTCGATAAATAGGAGAGCCTCTTCATATCTTTTGAGTTCAATTAATGCATATGCTATAGAAAAAGATTTCAAAAATCAATACCTTTGTTGTTTATACTATGGATTTAATAAAAAAGCTTTATCAAAACATTCGATGGCTTCTTAATATCTTTTCAAAACAATTAATGAGGTCCCTAAAAAATTAAACTTTTCACACCTTTATTGTTGAATGCTGTATCATTCTTACAATTTAACTAAATAGACTTATCATAGCAATAAATAGATTCTTCATATCTATTTAAATTTTTTAATGCCAATCCTATTTAAAAAATAAGTATTATAAATACCTTTATTACAAAATCCCTAACTATTATTTGGATCGAGCTTAATAGCTTCATCATAGCATTAAATAGCTTCTTAGTATCTTTATAAATCATTTAAAACTGTCCCTATTAATATTTTATTTCGAATAAAATTACCTTTATTATTTAATATTAAAAAATTCTATGAATTAAATTGTATGGCATCATCATAAGATTGGTTTGCTTCTTAAAATCGTTCTAAATAAATTAAGGCTTATCCTTTTCAAATTACACATCAATTCATACCTTTCCATATTTATATTTCTTCATTATTTGGGTCTTTCATCAAAGCTTTATCGAATAATTTTAATGCATCTTAATACTTCCTCTCATATATTAATTGTTTGCCTATATAATTTTCTAAAATTTTACCATTTTCAAAAAAAGTTTAGCTCTAAATTATTTCCTAATCTTTATTTATTGCCTCCATTTTTTTTGATATTTAATAAATTTCTGTTCCTTATTCTTTACACTTGCTCTCCTCTAGATCATTATTTTTGACAACATCTTCGATAATTTCCAAAATTTGATTAAATAACTCTAAAAAGGTTCCTAAAAATTTTTATAAATTTTTACGATATTTATTTGGATTTTCACCTGAATGATACTAATGAAGATATGTTAATTATTGTTTAAATGGCAAATACTCCTTATTGGTTAATTTTTGATCCATATTCAACAATATTTTAATTTAAGAGTCCATCTATTTGAAAAATCTATCAAACATTATCCCAAATTAGTTATTTATTTAAAATAATTATTAACTTGTCGATTTCAGATTCATTATGTAATGATTGATTGATTCTGATAAAATTGGGAAATTAAGACAATCTTCTTTATGATCTTAATGCCGAATTACCAGGCATTCCTAGCAATATTATGGTGTTTCTTGACATATCTGATTCATACAGAAACCAATAATTTCTTCTTTCTCATGATTTACATATCTACATTGATATTCTTTCATTTTCTATTAAAATATTTTTATTAAAGAATATTTTTGATTAAAAACCCAAATTTAATTATCATATTTAAGTTTTATAGTTTCTTAAATCTTTTTGAGGGTTATGGAGTAAAGTTAAAAATATAATATTTTTCCCCACCCTTACTTAGCTTTCTTCTAAAACTTTTGAAAAACAAAATCAATAAAAAAAAAATATTCAAATAGTTAACAATAATTTTTATTATTTAAAGAATGTTATATCCCGTACTTTAAGTTGTAATTATAATTAATTAAAAGAATCTTTAGATCTAACTGTTTGAAAAACCAAAGAAGATTAAATGAGATAATTAAATGAATTACATATTTTGTCAATTAAGAGATCAAATAAAATAAGTTCTTTAGCTTTAAAATACATTTAATAAATATTATTTTTTATCTTCTTATTTTCTTAATATTTAGATAAAAAATTCTTATAAACTTTATTAAAAATTTTCATTTTATTTCCAGAATTTGACATAGTAAACAAATATAAGGAAATATATTACTAGATAATTCAAAGAAGAACCATGAATGGATTTTATATTTAAGACTTCTCTTTTTATCTTAGATTTACATGATATTTAAAGTTTGTGTCTGTTTTGATATTAAAAGGTATAATTTCAAAATTAAATGTATGACAAAATTGTTTCCATTTTAGTTTAAGTCTGATCCTTTCTCCAAATGCATTCACTCTAGTCGAAATCTTTATAAAAGGATTTCTATTTTAATTCCATTTACATTCTATAATAATGGATCTTGGCTTTCTGTTTTTAAGCAACAAAGAGAGATTGATGTTATTAAGATGATACACTACCCATCAACTTCTGAATTGAATGTTGACAATGTCTTCTCTACATGCTCTTTTGTTGAGAATAAAACTCCTTAATAAATAATATCATCAGGATTAAAGAATTAGTTCTTAATCATCACGATACAATGGCCAATCATTTGTGAATAGTTATACTACATCTTTGGAGCTTCCTTAAGTTTTCTGTTGACTATTTGGCCTTACTTTCATAACTTCTTTATTTTAAAAGATGAGCTAAAGTTTCTTTTTCATTTATTTACCTCACTATTGACTCTTCCAGGACTTTGATTTATGCCTTTAGTTTCATAGATACAAATTTTTTTTATTCTGACTACATCTTTTCCACTTGTTATTCATATTATAACATCTTCCTTAGAATCAAGTTATTCTTTCCTCCCTAACCATAGACTAATTCTATTCCTTCATCATTCTTAATTATAGTTATTCTAATTATTAAAAACTTCACCCTAAAATTCTCAACTTACTTTATCAACCTTCTTTTTTCTTCATTTAAAATGTATATGTTATAATTCTATCTCAGTAAATATACCTTTATTCTATTAAACGCTTAAAGATTTTCTCTCAAAAGTTATTAAATCTCTTTCCAATTACATACTAATCTGTGTAACCTCATCCAGAAAGTATAATAATATATGATATATAAAAACCTTCTCCCTTTTCATGATGGGTTCTTCCAAATCTGAGAATGGTTGAACTCTATGTATGACCGATCTCCCTTTGAATAATGACTTAAATGTTAATAATGCCTCCTTCATCTATGAATTATTTGTTTCTAGCTATTTAATAAAAATTACAATTACACATTTTTGACTTTTTTAGAACCATTAGAAAAAATATCATCTTACCTTTAGTACATAATGAATCTATAATGCTTTATTTAATGACTATTGAGCGCAATTTGAATCAATTAAGATGATTAATGCTTTAGATATTAATCAACTTAAAGTTTGCTAAAGTTAAATTAGTGTAATGGTTTTAATTTTCAGAAGTAATGACACATTTAAAAGAATAGTAGAAAACCTAATTCTAGTTTTTATAGTTAATCAAACATGTTAAGTTAATTGAGAATCATATAAAGATGTTGAAAGAATATAATGAGGAAGTTTAAGTATTATGGTAGAGAGAATGGATGAAAGTATCCTTACAAGTGAATTACAAAATATAATATTAGCTGTAAAGTATTATGATAAGATGGTATAAAGTACCCTAAATATAATAAATTAAAATAGAAAGAATAAATAAATTTCTGTATGTAGAATTGAGATAATTCAATCTTTTTTGATCTTCCTATATAAATAAGAAACCCACAACAGTAAGATGATAAACCTTAATTGTTATTTATTAGGGAGCTCGGTATAGAAAAAAAGGCTATTTATTTATGTTAATAGTGTCTGATTAAAAATAGAGAAACTGAGTGTAGTAGCGGTGATCATGACATTGGAGTATATATTTGAGATTTATTACCTTTGAGTCCATCCTACAATGGCATAATTATACAGTTGATTAGAAAGATTCTTGGGAAGTTTCAGCAGGAAAAGAGTAAAATCTAAATCCTCAAGCTCTTTTTATTATTATTAGTAATTAGCAAAAATATTAAATCAG